GTGACATTATGATACTAGGGGGGTGAGATGTAGAAACAGATCACACACACAGACAGAACACACACAGACAGAACACACACAGACAGAACACGCAGACAGAACACACACAGACAGAACACACAGACAGAACACGCAGACAGAACACACACAGACAGAACACGCACAGACAGAACACGCACAGACAGAACACACACAGACAGAACAAGCAGACAGAACACACGCAGACAGAACACACACAGACAGAACACGCAGACAGAACACGCAGACAGAACACACACAGACAGAACACACACAGACAGAACACGCACAGACAGAACACGCACAGACAGAACACACACAGACAGAACAAGCAGACAGAACACACGCAGACAGAACACACACAGACAGAACACGCAGACAGAACACGCAGACAGAACACACACAGACAGAACACACACAGACAGAACACGCACAGACAGAACACGCACAGATAGTACACATAATATACACAGAAAGATCACACATACCAACCCATACATAACACACATACAGAACAACACACATGTGACAATTTGTCACAGGGGGTTGAGATGTAGAGACAGATCACACACACAGACAGAACACATACACAAATAGACTACATAAAGACAGATCACCCCCACATGACATACACAAAAAAAAGAAGGAGGGGAGAAGAAGACGATAGATGTTTGACAGGACAGAAGGAGCAAGCTATACCAGAGCACCCACCAACCACCCACATCAAGTTCCCTAGCCCAGCATGATACCAACTAGCTAACTAAAGCCCCGGTTACAGGCAACGATAAATTGTATCAGATTCGTCATATGAGAGAACTGTCCGTTTTATCGAAAGTGTTGTCTGTTTACACGTTCCAATTTATCAATAAGTTTGCTTTCGATTGAGGAGATTCCTCGTCATAAAGTATAAAGCCACCATGTCTCTTTGCGACGACAGCGATTTGCCTGCTCTCTATGTGAAGGTTTCGAGCTCTGGACCCCCACCCCTTTTCCTCTGTACATTTTGATTTAGCAGAACAGTGTCTTTAGAAAAGGGTGGCTATACTGTAGGCCTACCGTGTTGTGTGTAGAACCGGAAGCTATGACTTGACAGCAGATAGATGAGCAACGCACCGAGTGACCTTGATGCATTTCAAAGTGAATTTACGTCACAGCGCGTCTCCCTCAAGTGTGACCGTGATCCCACGAAAAATATCAAGCAGCGCTTGATTTCTCTACCGAGCCTCCAAACCATCGTTCAATCGTCCAAATTTTGTACAATTTTGTGGTTACACCTGACGTTTTATCGTATGATCGGTATATCGTCCAGTTTTTGTACAATATATCGTTACGTGTAACCGGGCCTTTCGGGAACTCCCCCGAGCAGACGCCCGCCTCACCTCCACCGTCATGTTGCCCATGATGGCCCTCTGGTGGCCCTCCAGCGTCTCCTGGGCCACTTTGCGGATCTCCCGCTCCGACTTGCCCAGGAAGAGCTCGCAGGCCGCTTGCAGCAGTTTATCGTTGCCGCCCTGGATCTTCACCTGGGTGCACCGACACACGCGCACACACACACACACAGACAGAGAGAGAGAGAGAGAAATACTACAGTATGTGCACAAGGAAATATTCTTCTTCAATCGTACATTGTTAACACATAAAAGATGCGCTGCTTTGAACATGAAAGAGAGACACAGAGAGAGAGAGAGAGAGAGAGAGAGAGAGAGAGAGAGAG